TCATTTACGCAGTTACCCTGTGAATTGCTTTTCAACACATAACCCTCTGACTCGATTATGCGCGTAAGGCGTAATTTACTTTTGCTAGCCTCCTCAATACGTATCTGATGGCTTATTTGTCCCCTTGATGATAGTCACGTTGATCGTATCCAGCATTTACTTTCGAGCATTGACCATTCTCGTTTTACAAAGGGGAATGAAAATCGACAAAGCAGGAAACACGTGTTGTAATGTCGTTGTGCAATAAATTTTAGACATTTTTGTCATACACGCACATTTCATACATATTTTAGCAGAAGTGAACAGAGTATAAAATAGATCAACATTTTCTATCAATATTAGTGAAAATGTTTACGGGTCACTAGCACAAATAAGAGGTGAGGAAAAAAGCGAGTGTGAAAATATTATTGAATAAAAAATAAACCTTGGTTTAAAAATTCGATTATCAAAGGAAGTTCAAAGTAATAACGAATAATCTTTAATTGCATGGATGATTTCATCATGAGCTGACATCAGTTAGAGAGCCACTGGAAAACCAGGGAGTGCTGAACAGCTGTTTCGTCAGCCTAGTTTGGGACTCTTCATCAGTGCGAACCCACCGTACACCCCTTGAGATGCTCCCATATGACCGGGAGTCTTACATAGCCTCTCCTGAGGAAGTCCTACTCACTGCCTTCACGTGGCAGAGGTGTTTTTCACCGAAGTGAGAGGGCAAAAGCGGATGCCCGGTTGACTGTCCATTGGATGACAGTCTAGGGGAGATGGCTAAACCCTGATTCCAAACCTCTAACGACTGGCGTATGAAGCTCACCGGCAGACGTATGGACAAAGGGCTTATTTGATGCCCTGGATGTCTGGCCCCATTCAAAAAGGCGTATGAACCGGACTCCGGTCACCGGCTGCCAATGGATAGTGGACTCCCTCCTCCACTCCCAGTACTTCTGAACACCTTGAGAAGCAATCTTCGTATGTTTGGCATGCGATTCGCCCCTACAAAATGTAAGACGCTGCTACAGGACTGGACCACGTCAACTCCTAACTTAGTGATAGGGAGTGAAGTGATAGAACATGTTGACCACTTCACCTATTTGGGAAGTTGTATTAGCACCAACGGACTGATTGGCGATGAAATCTCAGAACGGATCCGAAAAGCTCGAGCTGCTTTCGCTGACTTACACCATCTCTGGCGTAGGCGTGACATCCGGTTATCAACCAAGGGACGTGTGTACTGCTCATTAGTTCGCTCCGTCCTTGTCTATGGCTCTGAAACATGGCCAATACGAGTTGAAGACATGAAAAGGTTGACTGCTTTCGATCATAGATGTCTTCGATCTCTGTCTCACGTTAGGTGGTTTAATAAGGTAAGTAATGTTGACGTTAGGCGTAGAGTGTTGGGCGAAGAGGGGAAATCAATCGACGAGGCTATAAAGTTACATAGACTAAGATGGCTAGGTCACGTGGTGCGTATGCCTAACCACCGCCTCCCCCGCCTGACGGGCATTGCTAGCTGATATAGGTGGTGCAGGTTGGAAAAGAGTAAGTGGTGGCCAAACAAAAACATGGCCTCATCAATCCATGAAATCCTTGACAGTTAAACTGAGTCGATCAGGTAGGGAGATGCAGACTCCCGGGTTGGGGCCCTCGGGACTGACTCTAGGAATCAATGGCTGGAGACAATAGGTGACATGGCTCAAAATCGTTGTCAATGGCCAGGTCAGATGTACTCAGTCTCTGTAATCTTTCATATTCCTTTCTACCATTACCCATTCTGTTTCACTCTAATACTTGTCAAACTCTATTGATTCTCTCCCCTCATCATCTTCTTGTGTACCTTTGTGTGGTATTTGGAACGTGGCAACTCGAACTGGTGCACTTCGGTGACAAGTTCTATGTTGAATCCAGACAGAGTCAGACAGACTTTGTAGGTCACACTTGGTTGTGTAAAGGCTAGAGCTGCACTCTCAAACAAAAGGCCGAGCGATTCTGGGGTCATCAGTCGTACCTTATTCCCATGAAACTTCATGAACTCTCTACAACATCAACCAAATTCCGGTACTGGCCTTCGGTGGTTTGGCCATGTTCTGCGCCGACCAGATGAAGATCTGGTCAAAACAGCTCTAAATCTCTCGCCGTTTCCATCTTGGCGATGTTGCAGGGGTGGACAGCTGAAAACATGGCTTGGTACAGTCAAGGTTGATATGGAGTGCCTGGGGCTACAAACCGTCTACGGACTCCGTCTGTGGAACAAGAATTGGATAACCCTGTCGCAAAACCTTGCATCAGATCGCCGCGCTTGGGCAGCGATGATTCGAGATGTTCATGAAGCCGGCTCATCCTCCCGTAGGAGATAGCTGAAGTAAATTAGGCAAGTACCGCCAAGTCTGGAACGCAGGACCTTCTGGCTACAAGACTAGTGAGCTCGTATATAATTAAGCCACCGGGACCAGATCCAATTGTCCATGAATTCTAACTTCTGCCAATTCACGACACAGCGCGACCATTTCGAAATGTCTTCTTCGATGAGTTACTGCCTCATCTTCAACCTGCTGTACCCTACTGGTCACGGCTTCCCACTAAAACCCCAGGTTAACTTCCTGAATAGGGCCAGTCACTAGTGAGCATCAGATGGATTTTCAAGTATTGGTTTTGTAGGGATTTTGTTTGATTGCATGGATGATTTCATCAGCTCAATAGTCTACGGGTTCGCCTTGTAACCAGAAGGTGTTGGGTTCAAACCCGGTGGGTGCGTACTGATGAAGAGTCACAAACCAGGATGAAACAGCTGTCCAGCACCCCCAGGTTTTTCAATGGTTCTCTAACTGATGTCAGCCCATGATGAAATCCTCTATGCAATCAAACGAAATCCCTACAAAACCAATACTTGAGAATAATCTTTAAACTCATAAAACAGATTTAAACCTTTCTATGGCTAAGGAATCAACAAATTCAAGTATATGAGAGCCAACTTTGTTTTATGCATAGGATTAGAAGAACTATTGAAATTAACTCTATGATCTGTCTCTAAAATGATGTTGGGTATCTTTTTATGTTGTCCCATAGACCCTCACAGCATACGAACGATATGATTACATCCCACTTAGTTTACCAATTTAAATGCACGCCTCGTCACGCGTACATACAGAGGGACCTATTTTGCTTTTCTGATCATAGCTATGGCACACATCTCCCTAGTTGGCTGCAAAAACACTTAAACTCGTCTAATTCAACTAATCCTGGAAATAGATGTCCGATGTTATTTGTCGTGGAGAATGAAAAAGCTTAAACCTGTTTTATGTATTCAATTATTATCTGTTATTACTTTGAACTTGCTTTGACATTCGAATGTGTAAAAACCAAGGTTTAATTGATATAGGAATAAAACTTGTGCACTGTGGTAGAGTATAATTCCATTATGGGTAAATTTTTGTTTTGATAAAGTCTCACAGTGTTATACAGTAATGTTTACTGATGACGTTTCGAGCACAATTTATTGCCTCTCATAATCATATCAAGGTATTCACACGACTTCCTAACTTCATTTATATAGTTCCATTATTTTTCACTTGATTTTCCCTTGATTTGATTGGTAATAGTATTTTTCATATTCCAGGTATGAGTGATGAGTCATTCCTATTGCATGTGTTGGGTGTTGACTCGATGAACAAGGATTCAGTAATCAACCTCTCTCTCCACTGATTACTGAATCCTTGTTCATCGAGTCTACAACCAACACATGCGATAGGAATGATTCATCACTCATACTCGAAATATGGAAAATACTACTACCAATCAAATCAAGTGAAAAATAATGGAACTACATAAATGAAGTTAGGAAGTCGTGTGAATACCTTGATATGATTATGAGAGGCAATAAATTGTGCTCGAAACGTCATCAGTAAACATTACTGTATAACACTGTGAGACTTTATCAAAACAAAAATTTACCTATAATGGAACCAAGGTTTAAGTTACTCAATAATCTTTTCACTCTCTTTTCTTTCTACCTCTTATCTGTGATGATGACCCTATATGTGTCATGCATTTCAGACAGATTACGTCTTCTTATTGTCCTGTTGATGCGTCGGTAGCACAGCCGTGGAATGCTCTTCGACCATGTGCATGTGGTCTGGGTTTCGATCAGCGGCCGATGTACTCCTTTACCTTGCTATGCCAGTAATAAGACTGGTAAATAGGGAAGGTTGGGCATGAGGCGAGCAACTCCATGCCATAAAAGTAAACACCACTGCTTGGAGCCCTATGTTCGACTGGAAACGTTAAGGTAGAAATGTGTGTTGTATTGGAATTCATAAGTAGGAACTAATCGTTTTAAAAAGAAAAATGACTTCTATGCCGCTTCATAAACTAGTTTTAGTGTCATCTACATTGGTATGTTGTAAAATTTCCTGATAAAAGGTACGCCATCAAAGTATAGAATCTATAGTTGTCCATATTTCAAAGCTTGAATTCTGCATGCAACAGAGGGATTTATTTTAGTGTGTTAGATTTTCGGGGGTGGGGGGGATTTAACCATTAGATAATTTTACTCTCTGTTGGCGTTATTATACAACACAATATCTTTCTGCTTTACAATTTTAGTTTTTTTTTCTCTTTTTTGAGTTTTTATTTTCATCATCTGATCAAGTTGCCTGATCGCGCTTTGATTTTTTTCGTTGTTGTTGATAGATTTGTGTAATTTATTTTCAACTCTCCTGAGCATTAATCACAGCTGCAATCTGTACCTTATGTTATCAAGTCAAATTATAGCGTAGCGTATGCATACGATGTATGAGATGCCATTTTAAAGCTTGAAAATGAGGCGCTACAAAACAAATGAGTTATTCTTAATTGAATAATATCTTATGATTTTGAGAAGTTTTATAAAACAGTTGTATAGCTTAATGATAATTACATTGTGTAAGTGATTTCTTTATCGTCTTTTCAAAAAATAGATTTATCCTTCTTTCCCTTCCCCCTCTGTGTTTTTCTTTTCCTCTGTATAGTTTGAAAGTCCAAAATCTAAGCCTTCATTGACAAAAGACTGTTTCAATTGTTTACGAATTGATGAAGAAATCATTAAACCAATTACATCATGTTATACTTGGCCATTTTCAATGAATCGACAATATTTGTAAGTTATGTTTACGTATTCTCTAAATATTATTGTTGGTTTATTATTTCTAAACTTGGACCCATGTTTTGTCCTGTATAAGACTCATCATATGGGTGTGAGTGAGTGAATGCGGCTGTTCCCGCTGCTAGCCACTATTAACGCCACAACATAGAAATTTGCACAAAAGTGCAGCAGTGCAGGGTTTTTACACTTCATGAAGCATACAAAGAAAGATAAAGGAGAAAAAGCATGATTCAGGAAAATCGTACTGCTGAAGTGTCCCAAACTAGGACAAAACAGCTGTCCAGTACTCCCAGGTTTTCCAATGGTTCTCTAACTAACTGATGTCAGCTCATGATGAAATCCTGAAACAAATCAAATCCCTACAAACCATCACTTGAATACCAATGAGATGCTCATTGGCGACTGGCCCTATTCAGGTAGGTAGTTGCCTGGGTTCCAGTGGGAAGTCGTTACCAGTAGGGTGCAGCCGGTCGGGTGTAAGGACAAATACTCGCCGAAGACATTGGCTAGTGGTTGCGCTATGTCGTGAATTGGCAGAAGTTAGAATTCAAGGACCATTGGATCGGGTCCCAGTGGCTTAATGGTATACGAGCTCGCTAGCCTTGTAACCAGAAAGTCCTGGGTTCGAATCCCGGTGGATGCATACTGATGAAGAGCCCCAAACTAGACTGACGAAACAGCTGTCCAGTACTCCCAGGTTTTCCAATGGTTCTCTAACTAACTGATGTCAGCTCATGATGAAATCCTGAAAAAATCGTAATATGCAGAAATGTTAGGAAGAAAGAATAATAACATGGAAGATAGTAGGGATTTTGGGATATAGCTGATTACAGAAAGAGAGAGTGAATCTGCGCCCATTGAGATCAATTTCGAGTTATATTACCGATTGTCTCCAGCTATTGGTTCTTAGAGTTTCAAGGACCCCCCACCCAACCAAGTTGTCTATACCTGTTTACGTCGCTCAAACGAACTGTCAAAGGCTTCATCGATTGATTCTACTAGCTCTTTTCCAACCTAATCTTATGTCAGCTAAGATTTATCTTCAAGGAAAGTTATGGCTAGGCATACTTAACACGTGGCCATCAACACAAGTTGCTTCAAGTTATTCATCCTGGTAAAATTGGCATATTAACTGAATGGAGCTTATTCGCTAAAATTAGGCCGATCAAAAATATGAAGAGGATGTATATGTTGCAAGTAGATTCGGATGAATGGCGCCTTGTTTTAACTATCCAGTACTGTATTTACAGTTATAAGTTAAGAAATGCTAGAGTGTTGAATAGTTTTCATTTCAATTAGTTTGTGTGAATCGTGTAGCTTTGGCTAATTGACTGATAAACGAGTCAAAGTGAGTCTGTTAGCTCATTCGATAAATTTATAAGTAAGTAAGTAGGTGGCCACGATACCACCGTCTTCTGATTTTTGGTGATGGTATTCTAAATATGATTCAACCCCAGCATTATTCTCGTTTCAAACGAATTTCTGTGCATTATAATCAATCGATAAGAAAGTCAAAACACAACTCAATAAATAGGACTCAGTCTTCTACTCTCAGTAGTCTAGTGGTTAGCCTCTTCCAATATCTGGCGCTCTATCAATGAAAACTTTTGTGTTTTTGGTCCGAATGAAGGAAACCTATCTACGCATCCTACTGTATAACTAACCAGAAGTGGGAAGTCGTGGCCAGTAGGGTGCAGCAGGTCGGATGTGAGGACAAATACTTTCTGAAGACATTGGCTAGCGGTTACGCTATATCGTGAATTGGTAGAAGTTAGAATTCATGGGCCATTGGATCGTGTACCAGTGGCTTAATGGTCTACGAGCTCACCTTGTAACCAGAAGGTTCCTGGGTTTGAACCGCAGTCGAATGGGTGCGTACTGATGAAGAGTCCAAAACTAGGACGGGGAAAGCAGGTGTCTGGCAGTACTGCCAGGTGGTTTCCCGATGGTTCTCTAACCAATGTCAGCTCATGATAAAATCCTGTAACCAATCAACCAAATCCCTACAAACCAATACTTGAATAACTAGAACTTCCTTAAGTTACAAGCATTTCAAAAATGATCTGACGATAGTAAAAGGATTGTTACTAGCTATAAAATCTGCGGTACTACTTAACAATAATAGTGATAATATATCCAAAACTCGAAACTGCCTATGCGATGCCTTCAGGCAGCTATGCAAATCAGATAATTTCTCAGTACAAAACAAGTACTGTGGAACGAAAGTAGTCAGCCGAAATCAACCGCGAAAAAAGTAGCTGAAACTCAAGTGGAATATTCCCAACAAGGTGTGTGTGTGTGGGGGGGTCAAAACTATGTCAGCAAGAATCACGCACCAAACAAATCATTGGAAGCACTCCAGGGGCAGGATGACCCCGACTCGTAGTCGTAAGACAACACATTATTAACGCCATTACATAACCACAAAGAGAATTGTTAAAATTAGAGATTAAACAAGGACAAAAACAATAAATAATAAGGATTAAGTCAGCATATGATATACAAATGCCAAAACAATGATGTACAATCTAGGAGAAGAAACGAGGATAATAATTAAAAAAAAATTAGTTGAAACATACAAATAAGTATCATTATTGTATTTCAATCGATCAGTAAGGGTTTTTTAAACAATTATTCTGTTAAAGAAACAGTAGATTGTTGTGGTAACACTCACTCAATCACACATAAGGGATTCAAGTACATGCTACTGATCCGTTCCAGATGAGGTGAAACCCCACTTCTATGGGCTACCACCATCAAATAAACAATATCAGAATTAAACTATGCAAAAATTCACGTATCATGCATTATAAAGTCGAAGCTTATTGAAGCTGTAATTGAACAACTGCATCCTTTCTCATACCTTGATAAACAATCAAGATTTTTAATCACTCTTTCTCTCTCTCTCTCTCTCTCTGTAAGCGATAACTATTCACTCTAATTTTCTTTTTCTTCATTCCTTTGCATTCCAAATGAAACAAGGGACCTCATGATTTTTTTTTCAAAGTTTCTGTAACGGTGATATGGTTTAAAAAGGGTAACTAGGGTTATTAGACTCACTTCCAGCCTTGTATCTCCTCCGAGGTTAGAGTCAACTAGTAAACTAGGTGAGGTTTAAGGGTGTGGCAGCCGAGAGTTGAACTCGGACCGTGTGTTTATTTCATACTAATAGTTTAAATAGTGCCTTCACAATATGTGTGTGTAGTCTGGAACTGATACATCAGTTAGCGCATTATTAGTGACATGAAGGTGACACTTGTTTCGTCCTAAATTAGGACTCTTCAACATTACCATCAAGTTCAGGACTGAGTATGCTAATGATTCAGTGTGATGGTCTGATGGTTTCGATTCTTGATGAAATCATTACTGTGAACTTCTGCAGAATTCAAAACTTAAGTGAAATGTCTATCAAATGGATCTTGGTTTTCAATACTTTCCTAACTGATATCGATTCATGGATGAGATCTGCTTTGAAATTGTTATGAAAAATAATGAAACACGCAAAGTCGATGTTTAAATTTTACAAAATATCTTACACATTAAAGCGATAGTGAAATCTCATTCAACTAACTTAGTATAGTAGGATTGAATGACTTCTTGAAACATCAAAGAAATTCATCAGTCAATGCAGTTGTCTTTATTCATTTCAAGTGTTATTAGTCTGTAGACATTTGTTTAAGTTGTTAAATTAGCGTGAATCAGCTTACTCTACTGAACACTTTGATTCTTGTTAATTTTGTATAATTCATCTGTCGGATCGTGACAGTATATGCTTTTAAACTGTGTATATAGTTGATCATAGACATTATGGTGCCTGTGAAGAAAAATGGTTATGATATATATATATATAAATGAGTGTGATAAGATTATTCGTGTGCATATGCGTGTATTTATGTGTAAAAATCGTGTTAAAAACTTGGCTTACGTCATTGTCAAAATAAATGCTATGACTAACACAAATGAACATTTTGTTCTCAAGCCAATACAAGCAAACAGTAATAATAATAACAATCATACAAATCGTATGGTTAAAGCCAAATGTATTTGTAACAGTAAAGAAATTATGTATAGATAACAGAAACAAATATAAAAGATGCTAAACACAGGAAGTGAAATTAAATAAGATTTTGATGTGGTTGTGTTCTCTGAGCTGGATGGTTGATTTGCGACACTTTCATCACCCTACTAGGTGACATCTTCAGCGCATACTTCAATTTGAAGTGAGCTTTCAGATTTCTCCACGAGTTTATTAATCATCTCTCCTGATCGGCCATATTGGACGTGATTGGTTGTTTTTGTGTGTTTTCACACCTTCTAGGCTACTTGTATTGGAAATGATTATTTCTTTGACTTGAACTTTGACCCTTTGTGTGTGGCATTTCATTCTTATCGGTTGATAAATTTTGTCTATCTCTTTGTTTCTATTGATTGATAATTCACTGGAATGCCAAGCTTCTAAAAATTCTCTAGCATTTTTGTTGTTTCCTCTGTCTAATATTTGAACTTGGTTGTCCCAGTCGAATTGATGTCCGTGGTTGTCTGTGTGAAATGAGGGAGTGGATATCATGTCTTTTGACGGCTAGCTTATGCACGAACAGGACGTCCACTTTGGCCAATGTAGTGTTTTTCACAGGTGTTACAATTTATTTTGTAAATGATGCTGGTTTTATCTTCTTTCGCTGATGAGTCTTTTGGTTGACATAGAATTGAGTGAAGCGACTTTGTTGGTTTGTGTACGACGTCAATTCCTAAAGGTTTGAAGAGTCTTGTAGGGATTTCTGAGACATCCTTTATATATGGTAAGGCGATTTTCTTTGTGCTTTCCTTGGAGGCTTTTGGTTCGATAGGTTGACTTGGGGGTATATATCTTTTGATGAAGTTCCTTGGATATCCATTCTTTTGGAAGACAGACGTCCATGAGATATTTTTCTACCATTTTTCTTAAGGTGGGAGTGCTGCAATGAGTCCTGGCTGGCGCTCTTGAATAGTATTTG